AAGCAGTAAAGTCTATGAGGATGAAGACAGGGCCAGCCGCCAAACACCAGACGTGAGGACCCTACGGCTTGAGGTACGATCATGCCGCTGGGCTGGACTCCAGGTGGTAAAGACTCAGATGACCCTATTTTAAATTATCCCCCCACATGCCTGGCAATTTTCTATTCCCTTACCTTGTTCTTTACTTTCCCCCTTAGCACTTAACACCTGCATATGGTAGTTATTTATTTCATCTTCTGCCCATCTCTGCCCATTAGAATATAAACTCACAAATGGGACTCAGGTGTTTTGTTCACTAGACCCATGTCTGGCCTAGAGGTGGAACTCCATAAATATCTGCTCAACAGATGTCTAAAACTACTGTGGTTGCTTCCCCTGTGGGCATACTTTCCAGGGGTCTTGAACCCCCTATTACTCCCCAAAGAAAACACTCCACTAAAACTCAGCTGAGAACAACAATCCTATGTAACCTCTTCCAACTTGGTGTTGATAAAAAAGGTCTATTCCGTGAAAAATGAAATTTCTGTTATTATCCTGACTATTTAAATGATCGTGACATTGCACTGGCCTGAGTGTAAAACAGCATTTGATGGATAAAAACAGCAATGCTGACCCCATTTTCATCTTCAGGTAATGTGAAAGGACAGTTTAAGGTTTAAGGGTGGATTGTGAGGGAGAGGAGGTACAATGCCAGATGTGCTCTGCTCAGGGCCTGGGCACCTCAATCAAGGAGAAAACCTTTTTAAAACACATAGCTCCCAAACGCCGCATGTATGGGGTAATTGTGCGATCATTACTTTTTGGTAACTTGGCAATTAACTTCCGAGGTAATTTTTTTTCATGATAACTACAGCCACATTTCCCACACATATTACCTCCTGTGTATAGATTGGAAATCTAATTACTCTGTCCTGGAAAATTGCTTTATCTACCTGCAGGGTGGAAATTGCATGATAAATCCAAGAAGATAACCACCAAAATAGAGAAGTCATTCAGTAATCATGTTTCAGCAAACAAAATTCATGTCTACCAAGAAAAATATAGCAATTATGTCCTTTAAAAAAGCCACATGGATAGAAAAAAAATTAATCAAAACAAAGTTTTGTTTTTTTAAAATCTGAAAACATATTTGAAATTCAAGTGAATTGCGGTCCTTTCCTTATGCATGTTAAGTAGTACCCAAAATAATCATCTCACCTCTGCTCGGTTCCTGGACAAAAATACCAATCAATGGTGGGCTCTGGGAATCCTGCTGCTACACACTGCAGCATGCCATTCATGAGCCTGTCACGAGTCAGGATTTCTGGCTTTGCTGCAGGGAGAGAGAAGTGGCCTTATGTCAGACTGCTGGAAAACCTCACCAAGGCTCACTCCACTCTTTCTGAATCCTCAAAAACTTTCTCGAGGCCGAAGGGGACCCCCAAGGAGCATGTTGTTCAAAGGGGAGAATCTGAACCAGTGCGTGGAAGGCACAGGGAAGGCAGATGTGAGGGTCTGACCAAGAAAGGCTTTCCCGGTTAGAGCTGCCCAGCCCCCGTGTGGACTGTCCATCCTACGGATGCCGGGGTCTCCGAGATCTCCCTGTCCCGGGGATGGCTGAGGTCGCAGGACCACCGCGCAGGGTTTCTGTTTCCAGTGAGGGGTAACCTGAAAGATGGCATCAAATCAGGATTCTAGGATTCCCAACTATCTTAAAGGTGGAAATCCTGTTTAAAGGTTTCCTGCCATCAGGATTTCAAATTATTGAAACTTTCACAGGAATTTTAAGTTATTGCAGGAGCTAGAATATTTCCCCTTTTTTTGGGCGGGGGTGTGGTGCAGATAAGGAGCTGAATCACCTTTTACAGAGAAGTCAAAACATAAGAGTAAAACCCAATACGGGCTTTTAACTCCAAACTTTTATTTCAAATACAAAACAGGAACAGAAAATGAGAAGAGGAAACCAGCTCAAGAGTTTTATTTATACATATGTCTAAACCTGAGTATAATCACTGAAAAAGTAAACTGTATCATCAGCAGGGATGCTCT